TGCCGTCTCTACGCCCCCTTCCCCTCCTGGCGATGCTGCTCGTATCGACCGCCGTCACCGCAGCCCCCTACAACACCTTTGACGGCCCAGGCTTCCCCGCTTGCAACGACGTCGCCGCAGTCCACAACGCAACCAGCGTATCCGACATCCAATCCCTCGTCAAGGACGCCATCACCTCGGGCCAGAAGGTCCGCGCCTCGGGTAAGGGTCACATGTGGTACGACACAATGTGCTCCGACGACGCCAACACGGTCATCATCCGCACCGAGGACGTCAACGGCATCTCCGAGTTTGATCTCGAGGGAGGAAGCGTAGTCATCGAGGCCGGCGTGACGTTCTTGCAGCTTGCCGAGTACCTCCATGCCCGTGGCGCATCGGCGGGATACACGCTTGTGAATTGGAACATCACGCTGGCGGGTTGTGTGGCTATGGGAGCGCATCGGTCTTCGATTCGTGAGGATTCCATGGTTGCGGCGGGCGTGCTGGAGTTGGATATTATTGATGGGAATGGGGAGCTGAGGCACCTTGTAAGAGACAATAATGACGATACGTGGCTGGCTGCGTCGACTTCTCTTGGGTTGTTGGGTGTCATTGTGCGGATGAAGTTTAAGATCTACCCCGACTTCAAGGTTTATGCTCAGCAGAAGACGTGAGTTCGTCATGAAGCTGGTGTAGCTTGACTAAGCTAACGATGAGAGAAAAGGCTCGAGGAAAGCGAGGTTCTAGACGGCGACATCTACGGCATGATTGCGCCTTACGCGACAGCAAACTTCTGGGTACGTTTACTTCACACTCCCTTCCCCTAAGGAACCCCTCATGGACTAATAAACCCACGCAGTGGTGGCCCTACAAGCGCAAATTCCACCACCGCTACTACGACGTCGTCCCCACAAACACCTCGGACCAGCAAGGCTTCCAAAACACCTTCTCCGTCACCGACCTCGAGGGCACTACGGCCCGAACCCTCCTCGACAGCGGCCGCTACCTCCCGACCTCCAACATGCTCGCCGAAGAAATCTTCTTCGGCCTCTGGTCGAAGCCCAATTTCCGCGAAAAGACGACGAACCAGCCCATCGAGGAGTGGCCCGTCTACGGCTGGAACTACGACGTGCTCATCGGCGGGCTGTACCCGGACCAGAGGCCGCTGTGGGAGGTCGGGGTCCAGGGGTACACGCTCGAGCTGGCGTTCCCGATCACGCAGGCGAATGCCATGTTGAAGCGCGTGAGGGCGTTGTTTGATGATGAGGCGAAGAAGTTGATCGTCATGACGTCGACGTACCGGAGCGGGATTAACATCAAGTTTGGCAGGCCGTACTTTGATCTGCTGGGGCAGGTTACGTATGGGACTGCTGACGGGGCGGATTGGAGTAAGGGGGTGATTATGCTTGATTTCCCGACGTTCAGACCGACTGTTGGCGACCACAGCAGGTTCAACGAGCCTTTCTGTGAGTGCATTTCCCGGCGAGGTGCTCAATGCACCACCGCTTCTCGATGAAGGAGGGATATAAACTGACTTGTTTTTGTTGCTAGATCACAACTTGGCCAAGGTCCTCATTGACGAGTTCCCTTGCCGCCCTCACTGGACCAAGAATACCCGCGAGGTCTTTGCCCAGGCCGCGAAGAACATCGACCCCGATGTAAGTTTTGGTACCACGTCGTTCGATGTAGAAGTGATGGTTTGCTGACAAGGGATTGTAGCACATTGCCCGTTTCAAGGCCGTCAGAGAGAAGTTTGACCCGAACGGAATGTTCAAGAGCGTTGTCGGTGAAGCCATTGGAGTTTACTGAATCGACAGAATTACAGAACCATGATCGGGTAGTTTTCCATTCATTGTACATACTTTCTCATTAGGCAATATAACACATTATTGGGGGAATCTGTGACTCAGAATCTCACCGAAATATATGATGTAAATAACGAGTTTCCATCGCTAGTAGACTCTGTGCTTTTTTGGTCACAGCTTTTACTTTTGACGTTAGGCGCTTGGTGTATCGCCATATGATGTATCGGTTTTCGAAAGCATCTTTCATATTTCAACTCAGGCTTTGGTAAATGTATACCCTTGATAAATATAAAAAGGCTTCAGCTTCACCACCAGCGGCCCCTTCTCCCACGTAATATAATTCCTCTGCACGACCCACGACTCCATGCCGGGGCAGAGCGCCAGATCATAGTGCCACAGCGTCTTGGCCAGCAGCAGACGCAGCTCCATCCACGCAAGACTAAACCAAAGCACACACAAGGCTCTTCGTCAGCGAACGGAAGGACAAAATATACAAGTGGCAAAAGGAGGGTGCTAGTAGTCGGTGGTAACTCACTTTTTGCCCAGACAGTTCCTCGGCCCATACGAAAACGGCTCATGTACGTCCCTCTTGTCACCCTCCCACTCCGGCGCATCCATATGGATCCACCGCTCCGGGACGAACGCGTTCGGCCGGGCCCAGTTCTCCGGGTTCGTGAAGGCCGAGTAGGGGTTGACGGATACTAGAGTCTGCCATCTCACTGTAAGCTTCCATTTAAACTTCCCAGCTCACCAACCAGCATTATCTTCATCACGTAACTATGCAACGGGGGAAGATATAAAGGAAGAAACAAGGGTCCAGAACGTACGCCCTCCGGAATATACTCCCCACAAACGTCCGCCCCTCCCCGCGGCACGATCCTCGGCATCCCCGCCCCGCCGGGGTTATACAACCTCAACCCCTCCATCAGCACCGCGGTCAAATACTCCAACCGCACAAGCCCGTCGACGCAAATATCCTCCGTCCTCGCAAACGCAGCCCGGATTTCCCTCGTCAAAACATCGTATACCCGCGGGTTCCGCAGCAGGTAGTACGTCGTGCCGGACAACACCGTCCCCGACGTCTCCGTCCCGGCGACCATGAACATGGCCGCGTTGGCGTGCATTTCCTCATTCGATAGACCTTTCTCCATACCCTTAGTTCTATCATTGTCGCTGCTGTCGCCGTCGTTGTGCTTGAGTACAAAACTCCAAATATCAGGCTTCGGATGCGCTTGTCCCTCCCTCAACCGCCGATCGACGAGCCGGCCCGCAAAGTCGGTATGCTCCTGCGCCTTCTTCTTCAGCGGCGCAGACGTAACCTCCTGAACGAGCGGTCCCAGGACCGGAATCTCAAGGAAGACGAGCCCGTAGATGACAAACTTGAGACCCGCAAAGACGTTGCGCACCCAGGGCGTGTAATCGCCCCTCTTGAGAAGCAGAAGCGGTTCGCCAAAGGTCAGGTCCGCCATGATGTCGAACGTGGCAAAGTTGTACAAATCTACAATGTTGACGGGTCCGAATGCTTCATCCTCGCCCTCGCCGCCGTGCGCTCGCTGGCGCTGACGCTCACGCTGGGCGAGCGAGCCCATCGCCTCGACCATCTGGTCGGCGTAGTCCACCAGCAAGGACTCCTGCGCCTTGAGCGCCGTGTTGGAAAAGGCGTGCGTGAAGATGCGGCGCTGGCGGGTGTGGTCTTGCGGTCTCGTCGTGACGAGGCTGTCGCGGCCGAAATTCTCGCCGCCGAAGAAGCGTATGTCTTTTGCCATTTCGGATTTGAGCGGGCGGCCTAGGATGTCTTTCCATGCTTGCGCTGTTTATGCGTGTTAGTATTGTGAACTGTTGGTCCGGAGTGAATCATCGGGAGGGGGAGGAAAAGATGAGGTGAGGTGCGGTGACTGTACGTTGAATGTAGGATAACTCGTTGGGAGCTACGCGAACGGCGCCAGAGTAGGTCTCGTGGATTTCGCGGGCTTTGACGGCGTATCTGCCTGTCAGGAGGTAGATGTTCTTCGGCACCGGACTGAAGCGCCACAGGAATGGTCCTGGGTAGTGACGAAGCGGGTGGAAGTAGACATTGTAGATGCCGAGTAAAAAGTACTATAACACTTGGTCAGCGTGAGAGCTTTCTTAAACGTGGGCATTCAAAAGGCAAACATATGTAATCGTGATCTCAACAATGTACAACACAATAGATCCGTAATTGAGGGCCATGTTTGCTAGATATGATTTGGCTCAGTTGACTTGCAGCTACTGAAATGGAGTCCATGAGGCTATCGAGCATTGGAGCACCTTCACAGCTGTCATTATCTAAGAACCCATTGGAACGAATACGAATTCGATGGGATGGTTGAAGGGGCAAACACCACCCGTTTGCCTCATTAGGTGAACTCAAACGTCACTGCGCCAGGATGCTACAGACAGCTACGTTGTATGTAGTAGCATCTCACTCGAAACCTAAACCGCGTTATTGGTTTCATGAACACGTTTGTCGGCACTTTTTTTTTTTCTTTTTCTTTTTTTTCTCTTTTTTTTTTGACAGCTTGGCATCCATTCAATCGCTTGTCCTCGCCCGATTGAATCGTGATCAGAGGAAGTTTATACATTGAAGCGGGCGCAGGCAATTCTTTTCACATCTGTTTTGATAGATCTAATGCTCTCCACGTGCGTTGCCAACGGTTGGTCATGATATATTAATCAAAGCCGCAGCTTTGCCGCCGTCGGAAGCAGAACTTCAAATGGCCCAAGTTTATGTACAGAATTGACTCTCGTCTCAAGTGTATTTGAGTAGTAGAGGCTTTCTAATTGCCAAGATACCTGTGAATAACTCACGAAAGAGAGGTTCGATGGTCGAGTCGAGACAACGGATCAGTCAGCAATACGATGGTCACACCAACTTTATCGATAAGACGTGATTTCAGGCCCCTCCCCCACCATTCACAGTGATGCGACTCGCCATGCTTCATTGGGCCAGCCGCCATCACGCTGCGACACCTACGTCACGATAAGGTAGCTCTAGTAGCTTAGGTTACTCACCACTTCAACCGTTCCCTTCACATTCCTCAACCGACTCCCTCGAAGCCCCTCCAATTTAGTTCCCCCAACGGGTGCCGCATTCCAGCAGTGTTTGAGAGTGAGCCCGGAATAAAACGAAAATAGAACACAAATACCAGCAGATACGAGTTCCAAAGATAAACAGGTTACAAGTGCCAGACCATCATGTCTCCTGTGTTAGTCGTTGGCGGCACGCGAGGCCTCGGGGCGTCCCTCGTCAAACAGTATGCCGCTGACGCGGGCAACACCGTCTACGGCACCACGCGTTCCGAAGAAGGACCCGAAGGCTTCCCCGATGCCGTAAAGTGGCTCCCAGGTATCGACTTGATGGACGAGAATGTCGGCAAGACCCTAGTCAGTGTGCTCGGTGGTTCGAAGCCGCTCTCGACGGTGGTAAGTGGCTTTTTTTTTGAGTACTCGTCTTGTTGCTGTTGGAGAGTGTGTTGAATAACTGGCGGGGAGGTAGATCATCACGGCAGGCTACTTCGCGACGGAGGACTTCAGCACCGAAAAGGGTCCGAACTGGGCCGAGGAGCAGCGCATGTACACAACGAGCTCCATCGCCCCGGTCTTCATCGTCCACGCGCTCGCGCACGCCGGTCTTCTCCAAAAGGACTCCAAGGTTGTGCTCGTCTCGTCCGAGTCCGGGAGCATCACCCTCCGACACGAGAAGGAGGGCGGCGGCAACTATGCCCACCACGCATCCAAGGCCGCAGTGAACATGGTGGGCAAGCTGTTGAGTCTCGATTTGAAGGACAAGGGCGTCATCATCAGTATCGTGCACCCGGGTTTCATGCGTACTGAGATGACCAAAGGCGTGGGATTCGACAAGTACTGGGACGATGGCGGTGGTAAGTACTTCATATCATTGAGCCCATAGGCGGCCCGGTGAGTTTCATAAGGATCATTAACGTCTGAGTGTCGCAGCCGTCACCCCCGACGAAGCCGCCGAGAGTCTCATCAAATGGACAACAAAGCTCGACATTTCCAAGACGGGCGAGTACTGGGCGCCGAGAGGTCCGCGTAAGTACCGATGAGCGGTGACACCTGCTGGTGGACAGGACCCTCTTAACTGACATACGCCTTCATAGGTGACATCGGTACGGCTGAACCGGTTCTTGGCAAAGAGCTCTCAACACCGCTCCATCTCCCTTGGTGATAGCTTGGAATGTATCTTCTTTCACCAAAGCGAGAGATCACATCGGTGGTCCGCCAATGCGCAAGAGACGTTGGACACGGAACACCCGTTGTCCAGACTTCGTCCCTACTCGTGCAGACAAGGTGATTCCTGTAGGATTTGAACAGGCTTCATGGATGCTGAGTCGGGTTAAGTGAGCGCAAGAGGATCCGGGTTTTGCGAGGGACCGTGACGTGCATATCCGTCTACTATGTACATAGTGTATGTCCGTACAGGGAGCAGGTCTGTTACAGTGTCGTCCAGTGCTTTCTGGCAAAGTTGGGCTCAGACTCAGGCTCTGCGGGCATTAGTGGGTTGAAGGGCTAAGACCGGAAGGCGGTCACCGTGAAGAAAGCCGCAGTTGAGACGAACGAATGCCCTGATTGTATCCCCGCAATTCCCGAAGGTCAATGTGGCGGAAGAGGTTTACCCAGCGAGTCTGCCTCCTGGCCCGGGATCGCAGTTGTGACTCTGAGGGTGAGTCTGTGACTTCTAAGAAATTAAGAATAGGAGACCCAATGAGAGTCGCCTATCGCCATCCTTTCGTGGCAGGCTGACAGCCCATCCGTGATGGAGACAGACGGAAAGAAGAAGTAAGAATCGCGCTGGCCCCCGCTGGGCCTAGAGCAATCTCTGGGAGATCGAGCTTTTGCACTACGCAGACCGGACCCATGCGTACCTCACCCATTCTCTTGTGGGGTCACTATCGCAGGTGCGGCTGGTGCAGCTATATCCGTAGTGCTGTTGTATCCGTACTTTGCAGATATTAATCAAATTCCCCATGATCGTCTGCTCATATGAACAAGCCCCATCAAAAAGATTTTGCTCCAATGCTCTCGCCTATGGAAGGCTCGCTTACGTTTCAGATTGGCGATGAGAGTCCAGGATGATGCTGTCACGCTTTCCCTGAGACTTGAGTCTTGTTAGGAGGACCGTGACGGTGGAAGGCGGCTCCCCGATCCGATCAAGACGCAATGTGGGTGAGATGAAGAAAAGCAAAACAAAAAACCAAGAAGGGAAAAAGGAGGCCGCAGGCTGCAAACGTCAACGTCAAACGAGGTTTCAAGCTCACTCCAAGTGAAGAACGGTATTGCTGGATATTTGCGATAACATCATGGGCGAATGCGGTCGATGTTTTCAGTCTGCCATATTTCTGCTTCCAGGTGGCTAGAAGAAGCGTAGAACTCGTTACGGTTTGCCAGGAGAGTCAGATTTGGGGGCTGATCGAATCAGATCGTCCGAGGCTGAGATTGGAGGGCGTTTTGTCTCCCTCTTCGGGCAGCGCCATCTGCCCGTTTGGTTATCCAGCCCGAGGCTTGGCAAGGCAATACGGCAAGCACCTCTACTCCGTACGCTGGTTGCTGAGTGAGTGATCGTGTCGATCTCGACTTTCGCAAACACCACACTGTACCCCGTACGGATACACGACGGTGCTCTTATCACAATCTGAACAATGCGGATCTGTTTTCGCCGTTCGGCCTCCATGCGTGAGGGTAACCATTTAGTCTCCAGGCTTCCCTCGATACATTGGAGCAGTGGGAGGTTATGGCGCTCGGATGACAGCTGAGATCGAAAGACAAAGTGAATTGTCCGATGGCGAGTGACTATTGGGCGCCACCTCGATGGCCGGGCCCTGCGGGGAGACCAGCCAACAACGGGCTGGAAGTGTCACGCGTCAGGCGGGAGACGGGCTCGAGTGTGTGCAACGGCAATAGACTTGGAATTGGGCTGGCTGGCACTGTCAGCAGCGTCAATGGCGCGGCGCCGAGGCTGGCGGCAGAGAGCTTTCGAGATTCGGACACTCTGGACTCCTGGAGTCTGAAGTCTGGCTACTGGCCTGACGTTCAAATTGATGCACCCCATGTTCCCTTGGCATGGTTGAGACGACCAGGGGCCCCCAACACGAGGTTGCAATCCAGCGAATTTGGAAGGGCGGCAGGTTGCAACAAAATAGGCCCCTGTGCTACCCTTGTGATTCCGTCTTGTCCAGCTGCTGGAGAGACCAGGGCCAGGGCGGACGAACAGCTCCATCCCTCATCTTGATCCCAGGTGAAGATTTCAGTGGTGGTGTCATAGCCGGGTTGTGGACTTTGTCGTCAAGAACATACGTTCGCAGGCAGACGTACGGCTTTGTCGGGAAGAAGGTGGTTCTGTTTATTGCATCTATGAGCTCTCTGGTCAAAGGAAAAAGAGAGAGGAACCACGTAACAAGAAGCCGACAGTCCGAGTGGAGGAGCACGCACGGGAGGATGGACAGACAAGTCTGACCCTGGCTGATGTCAGGTACATGCCACAAGTACCTGACAGACACAGGGCCAAGTCAAGGTGTCCGTAGCTCCAAGAAGGCCCGTCGGTAGTAGCCGGTGTGTGTGCATAAGGTATGAGTTGGATGGCTGTGAACCCGGTGGAGAGGGAAACGACCGAAGCATTGTCGGCCAGATGGCTCCAGCACCCACACAATTTGGCTTGTTGTCTGTTCCGGCTCGTCCGTTTTGTTCCCACGCGCACTTCATCGTTTGTTGGAGGACGAGTGCATGTCGCAGATGCAGAAGATGCTCATCTCTCAGTTATTCGTGGCCGGCATGTTCTGCGGAACTCCATCGGAGGCGAGTCTAGGCGCATTGCACCCTGTCATTCAACTGTACTTGGTCCTTAGGGGTATGTTTAAACTCCCTACCAGGTAGCGTGGGTCTGGCTAGGGTAGAGCAGTGACTCTCAATAGCTAAATTTCTATTCGACGTGCACAAGAATCTCGAAAGTAATGCTACTGATATAATCGCGAGAAGCATGGGCGAAGATACCTGACAAGGGGGTTAAACTTTGGCCTGATACCGTAGTAGAGCAATTTGTTGAATTACCTTAGTTTAAAATAATTAGGATTATTAGGGGTCCTGGGGTGTGTCGTCGGCACGTCTCGTCTGCACCCCGGTCGGCCGAGGAACATCACTCCCGCGTTGGTCATGGCTAGTGTTTCCAAAGACCCCATGCCGCGATACTTGTTCGAGCGTAGAGCGGCAGATTTGCAGAGCAGCGGTGGCCATTTGCACCATGATTTGGTCGGAAGCTTGGTGATGGATCTATTACATCTGGGTCGGAATGGCGAGATGGAAATGAGAAGAAACAAAATCCCGCCGTTGCAGCCCGGTTCAGCTGGGGAGCCGTGTGTCCTACGGGAGATGATGGAAGATAGTTAGCGTTCATAGGCCACGACAGGGCAAGGAAGGGCCGTGAAGGTCATGAGGTCGAGGTAAGGTATTCTGTTTGAACAAGCGCGTTGCTCTCAGTGAGGGTTAGAAATAATCCGCCAGCCAACAGATAGTCAGCCCCTTTCTCATGTTGCCACTGCTATCCTCGCTTGACACAGCTGTCTTTGTCACAGTCTCACTATAATGCTTTGAGTATATCCGTATTCTCTACGCGATGTACTCGAAGAGCCAACTGGAAGGACCGGTGCTGGAAGTAGAAGTTGTGATGAAGGTACAGGTAGTAATAGAAGTGGCTGAAGTACGGATCAGGAAACAGGAAGTGTTTACCCACCTGGTAATGAAAGTCCAGTGGACACAGTGGTGACATAATGGTAGAGGCATGAAGAAGCTCACCGCCCACGATGCAGCCACAGACCCGGGCTGAAGGGCCCCAAGTCGGAGGAGGCGTCTTCCCAGCCAACCGCATCTGCCGTCGTCAGCGTTCCCTCGTCTTTGTATGGTGTCCCTGAGAGAAAGAGAGAAAAAAGGTAAGCTTACAAGATAATAAGCTATTCATACGGATAGGTTCGGATGGTGTGGTGTGGGCGGCTTAGATTGAGATGGAGTGGCTCATGTGCCTGTGCCAGACCAGGACCAGGACCTGGTCGAGTTCAGGTGCCGCTGGCAGATGAGGGTGATGGGTGATGGGGATGACATCCATGGATGTCGAAATGGAGAGAGAGAGAGACAGAGAGGAGGAGGCGATCGGAACGGGTGGAATGCGCGGGGATCGGGAGGGCGTCGTTAGGTCGTTGGGATGTTTCTTGCTGCATTGTCCACGTTCTGTTTCTTTCCGTTTCCTAATTGCTCTTGGTTCTCCTCTCCTTCTCTTTCTCACTTTTTCTCGTTTCTACTCCAGTTGACTCTTTCCCATTCTCATCGTTTGTGCCCTCTTTCCCCAAACGACGAAAAGGAAAGAGGTATCAGAGTCGACTAATACTAATAAACTATCGCTCTTGCCTGCCCCTCCTCAGCTCACCCACCTCACCTTCCTTAGCTAAAAGGTACCTACCTACCTTGGCCGTGGCTTCCTTCTTTCCTCCTACTCGATTATTCCCTTCTTTCCCGTTCAAAAGCTACGGACGGATACACAAATATTTTGCCTGAGGTGCACCTGCCCTGCTCAACGACTCGTGGAGTGCCTCCTGCCTCCTGCTCTTTCACACCAAGCCTCAGAACTTAAGCCTTGCGCCTTCCTTCCTTTGTTCTTTCCTTCAACGGGACCTCCTTCCTCTTCCGCCTCACAGCTCCTCCCCCTCTTCGACGAGTGGACCATTGGCCTTACTTGCCTCACGGGACTTTCCACTGCCTCGCACCCGTCCCTCGTTTTTCTTTCTCTTTCGCCAACACACTCTCGAGCTGAACGAACTCTCAAGCAGCATCTCTCGTCTCTCGCTCCAACTTCTCGTCCGTTCTCGCATCCATCTACCTTCATCTCGCCTCACCATCTCATCCGACTTCGCATCTCATATTCAGAGATCACCCGCATTCTCTAAGCATCCGAACACGACTAGGAACAGTGTCACCATCACCTCCCTATTCAGCCAAAACTACACTACCTTCTCTTTTCTGTCGTCATCTCTCGCTTCGCAGAGACACGGGCATCCCTATCAAGGCATCAAAGCGACCCAGAAGTTGGGTCAACCCGGGTCCGTGTTGCAGGCACACCGAGCCCGTGTCACACGGCAATACCAGCTAGCGACTGTACGAGCTGTCAAACATCATCACTGATCTAGACACTGTCCCCGGATCGTTTTTGGGTTATCGCGATCGCACGGATTGAAATACCGAGCATCGACTTATTAACTCGTCAAACCGCTCTCTTGTGAGAGAGACGACGTTGTTCCGTACCTCTGACACGGACGTGGACTGAGCAAGAAAAGGAAACGAAAAAAGCCAGACCCAGGCCAAGAGAGAAGGTGAGCTTGCATTTCCTTTTCTGGCCCACTCTTCAGACAGCTACTTGGCTCGGTTGTCGCGCGTTCGTCCAGTCGTCGGCATCATCCAGCCTTTTGGTCGAGTGCCCGCCCAATCCTGTCCAAAGTCTCCAAACCCAAGCAGCCAGACCCCTTCATCCTCGCAAGTCGTGGATGGTGCGTGGACCCCAGATCCACCACTCTACCACCCAAAAATTCCTAGCCACCTAGCCAAACTACTCGCTTCCCGGCAGACCAGCAATCTCCCCCTGAATTGGATGATTTGGACCCAATCCATTATCCGATAATCAATTCGTCCCCCCCAAACCAATTCATCCCCTCAAAGCCCAAGGGATGCTTTTTTCGAGCTGACGTCGGATCAAAGCAGGAGAAAAGGACACCGCGCTGCACTACAAGCCAAACCAGACGCGCATTGCCGACTATAATCGAGGATCTTTGATATTACAACTCACCCCTATTTTCTTCTTTTGAACCCACGCACCCACCCGCCTACGACTCCGGATCCCGACCACCCATCTGCCTTCGGACGTACTGCAGATTGCTTGCCCGCACGCTGCCACACACACCGCGCGCACCGCACCGCACAGTGACCTGCCGAGGAACTGTCGGGTGGCTCCTCCAAAAACCCGTCCCCCCCGTTATTGTTTGTCCCTGCAGAGAGGCATGACGCTAGGAACGGCCATTTGACAGCCAACGAAAATCAAGCTTGCTAGCAACGCTCGCTGCTCTCCTCAATCGGTCGGACAGCTCCCCTTTTTCTGGCGGAAGAAAAGGCCGATCCCTTGACTTTCAATACGACGCGCCCGTCCATCATCATTATCCATACTCCCATCTGGTCATCCCTCCCGTCGCGGGTACCACACCATCCCACACGGTATACCTCACAAATTACAGCCAAAATGTCAAAGGCACAATCAGCACAGCCAGGTAAGCCAAGAATCAAACATTCTGATATGGATGTAGGGGATGGATATGCGCCGGCATGTCCTATCCTGCCCAACCTTCATCCCTCTTCCCACCCACCCCTTTCAATGCCTGCCACCATCTTCCCGGATTTCTCCCCCTTTGACTTTTGCCCTGTCCAACGGGAAGAGAGCCGCCCTTTCTCACGGATTGCACTGCCGCCCAAGCAAACGCAAGCACCGCGCCCGCTCCACCCAGTTGTTGAACCTGCTGTGTCATGTATACCGCCCTCATGTTTCATATCCCTCCCCCCCCTCGCCGTCACTCGCATGCACGGAGCCGTCGCTGTCTTTCTCTGTCTCTCTCCTTCCTCCTATCGAGTGCTAACTTTACTTCCTTGGAATAGGCCATCAACCTAGCAAATCTGCTGGCGCTGGCTTGACGCTTAATCTCTCATCCAACAACCCCTTTCGCAACCGCGCTGCCTCCCCACTACTCTCCGGCACTACGAATACCACCTCTCCCGCTTCGCCTTTTGACGACCCTCCCCGACCTGTCTCGCGCAACCCATTCCTCGATCCATCATACTCGAGTAGTCAACCGAACTTGATCGGAGCAGGCACCATGTCGACATCACTGGACAACAAGGCATCGCCTACCGCTGAGGAGCTGTTTGTACGTTGCCCCCGATGAATCAATTGATGGAACCCGGACCGATCCCTCGGTCGCCAATTGAATTCTTGCCGCGCGTCCATTGAGAGTTCGCAGGTTACTGACTTTCCGCCCGACAGGATGGTCTCACCATTAACGATCAGAAGCAACCTCGACCCCCGACGAATCGCCCTCCTGGAGTGCCAGGACGCGAGAATGTGCCGCCTGGAGCCCGTCGCGGTCCTCCGCCACCCGGCCACCGTCCATCGAGATCTCAGGAGGAGGCGATGAGACAGCGACGCCTTCAGGGCAGTGGTGGTCCTCCCCGACCTGGTGGAGCTCCTGGATCGCCCCAACGCCGACCTCAGGAACGCCGACCGCGCAGGAACTCTGAGTCGTCCGTACTGATTGATATCGAGAAGTCCCCGACCGACGAAGAGAGAAAGGCGAAGGAAGCCAGACGTCGGGAAAGAGAACGCCGCGCCCGGGAAGGAAAGGACAAGGACCCCAAGAAGCCCAGTCGCAGAATCGATATCATCGACCAATTGGATGCCACCAGCATCTACGGCACCGGATGTGAGTAAAGCATTTTTTTCAGTGGAAATTTCCAGGCTAATGGCATGTAGTGTTCCATCACGACGGTCCTTTCGATGCAGCCAACCCCCACCGTAACCGCAAGGGCAGCCGACGTGCACCGATGCAAGCCTTTGCCAAGGACTCCCTCAACATGTCCCTTGGCGGCTCCGGTCCCCTCAACAAGCGTCCGGACCATGCTGTGTTCATGGGCCACAACGACGGCGAGGCATCGGCAGACTTTGCAACTGCTGCCAGACTTGAGCGCAAGGATGATCCCGCAGTCTTTGACCCCCGAGCTCGCGGTTCGATCGTTTACGGAGAGGAATCCATGGGACTCGGTGCCTCGACCTTCCTGGAGGGTACTCCTGCTGCCCGAGCTGCCATCCAGAAGACTCAGGCTGAGCAAGCCCAGCAGTCGACCTCCGAGGGCCTTGGCCGCAGCAAGTCCATCGCCCAGCGCATTCGTGGAATGAAGAGGGAGCCCCGCGAATATGGTCCTTCTGGTCGAATCACTAATCCTGAGGGGGCATACACCTCCCGCCGATCGCCCGATACCAATGGACCCGCCAGCAGCATTTCGTACACTGGCGAGCGTAACCCCTTCTTTTCCGAGTATGGAAAGGAGCCCGAGACAATCTCGGTCAAGCGAGCCGACAACGGTACCCGTTCGCCTGGTGTACCTCCCCCAGTGCCCCGTCGAGGCTCTGCTAATGGCCTCGAGCGTCGTGCCACAGCTGACATGATGTCACCGACCGAGGACGGACCCAGCAAGCCTTCTGGAGGCTTCATGGCCAGAGTCAAGAGTCTGAAGGGTGGACGCAGACGCCAGGCTTCCGATGCCATGGCACCGCCTCCTGCACCTGGCACTGCCGCCTAGTGGTTTCGCAGAACTTAGGAAGCAGGATACGAGAGCACCGAGCCAACACAAAGGACACAACAAGACGAATGCGAAGGCATACGGCAAAGAAAGTCCTTGCCATTCATCAAACGCCTCACCATGAGGCGATTAGTTTCAAGAAAGAGAAAGGGTGCAGTCGATGCACCCCAAGAACGAACGACGTGAAGTTGTTTGAACCTATCTGGTTACAATGCAAACACATTGGGCTACGGATCCGATAATATCGAATTCTGGATCATTTGTGGAGGGAGTCAATACGGTTGGGATCTCGAATTGGGTTGGGTGGCTCTTGGAGAAGCCATCAGGACGAGAACTACGATTGTCAGGGCGGAGCGGTCGCGCATATGCGTCTGGATTTTCACACCACCCGACAAGTGATACCTTTCTCGTGAATAATCATATTTCTTTGGGAGGAAACGAGCCTCCTTTTCTGCCTCTTTTGCTACAAATATTCCAGGGCCGGCAGAGGCACTTTACACAAAGGGAAGGCATAGAGCAGGCAATCCAACAGTCCGTCGGCAGATTGTTATGAATTAGCTTTATTGAAAATAGAGAACATTGAGCCTCACATGACGTTTCTCAGCGCTAATTTGCGGTGCATTCAACAGTGATAAGGTAGCGACAATGATGGGATACTCAACATGTGCAAGGTATTTTTGGAACAAGGGATCGGCTTATTGACAAGAAAAGCACAAAATGCATGACTACCTAGTCTGCCGTGTCCCCCTAGCAAGGTTTCTAGTATGGCGAAGTCCGGATGAGATGCGTTGAGTAAGGTGGAAGGCAAGGAGTGAGAAAGGGCTGCATAAGTGACAATCATGCAAGACACAGGGGTGATGTCATTGAGCCTTGAGGTGGCTGATAAGGCCCTGTCCCAACCTACACAGTAATGTGCCAGTCTGGCTGGCCCTGGAAAGCGCCGAGACTTGAATCGAGATTTCCAGCGGAGAATTTACAACAGCTCCTCCCTTCCCCTGGAACTCTCGTCGGAATTTAATCCGCGCAACTGTTGGCAGCTGCCATCATGTGACTTGACGATACCTTCTTGCTGGCTTCCATCATTCCATCTCAGAGTAGAGACGCAGCAGAGTCGACGAAAGAATAAGTCGAAATGACACGGAAATGATACCCTTTTATTTTTTTACCTGTCTTGTTCCAGAACGGTTAGGGCCACGGTGAGCCCCGGAAGAAGAAGAAGGCATACAAATATGGCAGGCGCCAATGACGACGGCGGCGATGAAATGATATTCCCCGCTTCGCAGGCGAGCTCGCATTTCCCCCTTGAGCCAGTCTCCGCAGCCGTCCTCTGCAGTCGGGAGACGAAGCGCAGAGATGCAACGGTGGCGAGGGGTCGAGTGCAGGTCGGGAGCCGGGAGGTCGATGAGGAGGTCCTCTGTGGCGGGTTCGAGAGGGGGAGTGTTGTTGGGCTTAGTTCTGAGAGTGAGCAGATGGGGATCTTGGTGAGTCTTATCCTGCATTGAGGGAGTCAAAGGGGAAATGAACTGACTTTGTATGATTAGATTTCGATGCAGGCCCTGGCCAAGACACTCTGCGGAAAGGAGCTCGAGAATGATGAGAGGGGCAAGGAGGCGAGGGTGATGGTTGTCACGACGCAGCCTCCTGCGGCCATCCTCCCGCCGCTGAGGGATGCCATTCGAACGGAGCTCGTGGTCCGCGGCGCCGCTGAGGCGGATGTGGCGACGAGGTTGAGGCGGTGTTTGGGGAGGGTCTCTGTCTCGAGGGTGTTTGATTTCGAGGGCTTGTGGGAGGCTCTTGGCGACTTGGACATTCTGCCTGAGAGTCCTGAGCCACGCGTGGTCTCCTCCCCCGGGGTTCGCGCACCATCTAGGGAGCGGTTGAAGGATGATGATAAGCATGATACGGGAGACGATAAGAGGAATGAAGGGGTTGCGGAAGGCTCGGCCGGTGTGGAAGCGCCTGCTGAGGATGCGGCGAATTCGTCGAGGGGACAAGAGCATGCTGCGCCTGAGCCAGAAGTATCTCAACAGCCCGAGAGGATTGTGTTGCCGGAACTCAAGCCACGGCCTCAGCCGATCAAATCTACGAGAACAGAGATCGCGGACAGTGACGAGGATGACGATGAGGACGCCATCTCGCTGCCATCTTCGTCGTCGTCTTCGCTGTCACCGCCGCCTTCGACAATTCGGTCCCCGACGCCGTTTATGGCTGCAGATTCTCCCGAGAGAGGAGCGGATGAAGAGGAAGTTACTGAAGGCTCACAGGGGGACGACCTGAATAATAATGTTGAAGGAACGCCAGAACAAGTCACAGAAGAGCTTCACGAGGAGGAGACTGAGAGTAGACCACCGCCGCCGGAGAACAAGATTCCCGAGGCCACCGCAGCCGTAGCAGCACCCGAGAGCAGATCCCCAGAAGACGACGATTCGAAAGGTCCAACCTTGCCGGATATCATCCTCATCACCCACTTCCACAGCCTCATGACGGCCCTCTTCACCCGCCGCGACCGTCAGTCCGCGCATGACTCGCTCCAACGCCTCTCCTCCCACCTGCGGTATCTATCCAGAAACCTGGAGACTAGCCCCTTGATCATGCTCCTCAACAGCACGAGCTCTTCAAAAGAGTCGACGGTATCCAAGCCCGCGAATGCCCAGGGAGGTCAGCCGCCGCCACCACCGAATGGAGGAGAACATGGCACTGGCAGTGGTGGTAAGGCGGTCGACCCGACGCTGCGATCCATCTTTAACCCACCGGCGCTGAATATCACGGGTTACGGCTACGGCGGGAACCAGGCGGCGTCGAGGCGGAATAAACCCACCTTTGGGCTTGTGTTTTCGCAGCTTCTCGATTTGCACCTGCTGTGTACGAAAATACCTAGGGATAAGGAAGATGCTGAGAGATTGTATACTGCTGCGCCTGGGGGCGGCGGTGGAGGGGAAGATGATGGCACAGGGGGTGTGAGATTTGTGTGGGCTTTGGAGGTCCTTCTTGACGAGATTGGTGTTTGGGAGCACGGGACGGAAGCGGAAGTGGGAGGAAGAAGAAGGGGCTCGAGAAAGAGCAGAGAGCAGCGATGGGGTGTTGTTGATGTCAGGAGCGGGCGGGTTGTCGATGCCTTTGAGGCGGTGGAACGGAAGAAGGCTGGGGAGATTCGGGTTGTTGGCGGGTTTGGGGGCCCGCGTGTGTGAGCTCGCCTGCCTTTGTACAACTTTTTACGGCATCACCATGTCAATACTCTGAGACGAGTCAAAAAAGGACGAGGTAACAAAATGGCCGTGGGACACACTTCCTGGATGCATCGCGGCGGACGGTACATCATGCCCTTGGACCCGGTATTCTCGGACTCGGGCGACGACACCTTGTTGTCCTACACAACCGCCAAGACACGACTTGTCTACATTCTCAACCAGTCAAAGCCAACAATGGATCTGAATATCACATGCACCGGGAAGAAGTGGAACATCATGCAGAGCCGCGACGGTGCGGTGTAAGTCAAACTGCAAATGCGGACCCTGATGGTCCGCCTCGATGCTGCTGCCCGCCCGGGACCGGGAGGGGGGGGGGGGGGGGACGGGAACCTCTATGTCTCCATCCGATGACAGGAAACCTACCGCGGGGGAGCCGGGGGCGTGGGGGGGAAGAGTAAAACCGAGAGCGGGGCCCCGGGGTGCCCCCCGGGGGGGCGGGCCCCCCGGGGGGGGGGGGGGGGGGGGGGGGGGGACGGGAACCTCTATGTCTCCATCCGATGACAGGAAACCTACATCAGCGGAGACCGGGACGCCCACTTCGTCCGGGTCGTGAATGTCTCAGACCCATTCTTTGTGTTGAAGAATTACACAACAATTACCTTTTACCTATATAGGGCTATGATCGGGAGCGAGTACTTCTCCATGGGGCATCGAATACAAATCCGTTTCAACCCTTCTACTTCTCTCCGTCGAAATCTCTCTGAAAAGCTGATACGTCACGTTCGCTCATCGTCAGTGGATTCTTCGCCGTCGTCGCCGTCTGCGGCTGCTTCGATATCGGATACCCAAGATATTGAGGATATGAAGGCGAGTTGTGTCTTGCCATACGCGGCTGTGGCTGCTTCTGTCTCGGCTTTTGCTTTACCCGAGACTAGGCCCGAGCCGTCAATAGTAAGAATCCAGGATGGGAGCTCGAGGGAGTCGAGTTGGGAGACAACGCGGGCACGGAGTTATGACAAGTCATCGTCACTCGGCCATGTGGTCAATGCCATTGGCGGCATGTTCTACCAAGCTGCTGGAGCCGTGGCCCAGGCCGGTAGACGCGTGATGGGACATCCAACCGACGCCCACGACATCGGAACCGGCCACGCAGCGCCGGTCGTACTACAGCAAATAACAAGTGAAGATCCGAGATCGCGTCAAGAAGAAGCAGACAAAGGGGAGAATCTCTTGACGTTGATCAACGAGAGCGGCATGCAAACGGAGTACTTCACGACGCTCCTCACCTCATACGACAAGGTCCACGACATGCTTCTCAGCAACAACGACGAGCAAACGCAGAAACAAGAGCAGTTCACGATCTTCGTCCCCACGGACTCGGCCTTTCGGAAGCTCGAGGGCGTTTTCGAACTCAGCCGAGCGGAGCTACTCGGCGAGATCCTCGAGTACCACGTTCTTCCGGGGCGGTATACTTACCAAGACCTCCGCGGTCTGCGGACGGCGGAAACGGTTCTCGAAAAAGGTGGGGGCGGGGAGCTTCGACGGCAGAGACTGAGGACCACGGAGGGGCCATCGGGTGTTGAGATCAATTTTTACGCCCGGGTTCTCGCTTCCGAATCGAGGGAGAGCGGGGATGGTGCTGTTGTCGTCCACTTTATAGACGAGGTTCTGATTCCGCCGCCGCGGTGGGATATACTCGTCGGTGCTGCGGTGCCGGAGGATATGCTGGGGGCTTTTGCGAAGGCGGTGAAGCGGAGCGGAGTGAGCGAGGAAGTTTTGCGGCGCCTGCGCGGTGGCTCTGGGATCACGGTGTTTGCGCCGTCGAATGAGGCGTGGGATAAGTTGGGCGAGGAAGCGATGGATTTCCTCTTTTCTTCGCGGGAGGGGGCCAAGTTTCTCGAGGCTTTGGTGAGGTATCATTTTGTTGCGGAGGTGATTTATACGGACTTTTTCAAAGGCGTGGAGATGGATGAGGAGGAGATGGAGAAGAAGACCGACGGGGGGAGGGACCTCGGGGAGGACGCCGACGGGGCGGGGCGGGTGCGACGGGATGTTCAGACTCTGCTTGACGGGGCGAGGGTCACGATCGAGGCGGTGGTTTTTCGCAGCGCGAGACGTACGGGCAACGCTAGACGGCCGGTGGGCGTAGTGAAGGGGGGTGTTGGGGTGAATGGGGCGGCGGTATCAGCGAGAGATGTGCCGGTCAGGGATGGCGTTGTGCATATCCTGGACGAGGTGCTCTTGCCACCGCCAGCGCCGCCGCTATTGTCGTCGACTTCGTCTTCGTGGAGGATTGGCGTGGAGGAACTCAAGAGGCGGCTGGCCCGGTTTGTTGAATTAGGAGAGGAGGGCGATTGGAGCGAAGAGTTGTAGGATATCCTTGGTAGTATCGTGTCCGTAGATTTAAGAGTGGAACGTATGAAATATTGTCTTGCACTCCGTACCCAGATGAGTTGAGACATGGATTCTTGTGTGTTTCCTCCACCGTTGAATCAAGCATCCTCAGGAGGTTTATTTCCGAAAGAAAAGTCGTCTTGGCAATCTACAAAAAACACAAGACTATGGGCACGTGGAAGTTGAGACGATTGGGTGACGACCTAATTTGGATTATAGTCATGAACCTTGAGAGGAACGAAATGAACTCTCGCGACTAAGCACGGTCTTTCACTTTCGCTACTACTTCGTAGTCTGTGACTTTGTACTACGAAAGCTCATTTCCATGCTATCCGTGACCCGTATACGCCGTATCCGTACAGCCGTGCCAGAAACTAGGGCCTTGAGTCTGTCTCTTGCTAGACAGTCCACCATAGGTTCTACTGGCGATTGTTCCCCAATCATAACGTTTGATAGTGTGTCCATGTGTCATAATGCAGGTTATCAATATCGTTTCTGCTCCACGCGTAGTTATTTCCCGAGTCGGCTTGCGAGCATCATCATTCCCGACTCGGGGAAAATCATCCACACCGGCACTGCCGCTGCTACACCCTACATAGCCTAATCACTTTTTTTTTTCTGTTGGAGCGCAACACCTTGTAGGCACAGTTGCGCTTATAAGAAGGGGGGGGGGGGGGGGGGAGAAAGTCCTTCATAAACACTCTTGGCAACTCCATTCTCCTAGGTAAACCCTCCCTTCTATTATTTTCAAGACCCGGTATACGAATACTCCGTACTCGCCAACATGAAGCTCGCACCCGTTCTATCCATCCTCGTGGCCGGCCTCTCGTTCGCCAGCGCACAGGTTTGCCCCGACAAGAACCTGATGGAGTGCTACGAGTACTGCGACTTCAACAACAAGCCCAACGATGCGTTTGTGGCGTGCACACATGCTCGTTGCTCGTACTGCCGCCCTTAGACTGAGGAGATTGAAACCCGGACACAGATGGGTGGGAGAAGCTGTGAGTAGGGGAGATAAAGGGCCGTGGTGTTTGATCACGACTGACTCGGTAATAGGGCCCCATTGGTCGGTATACAGGCACTCAATACATGACGATTCCAGCATAGAAGATACCCAGGATAGGCGGGTGGTGGATGGTGGCGATGGCGCCGAGTATCAAGATAGAAATGCAGTATGAAGTGGAATAGATTTGTGATCGCAACATACCCTTGAACATATTTCCAACTCCATCCACAAGCTGTCTATTAAGACGCGAGTCTGCCAAGACGGTCTCGGAACGATGCATGCGTGACGTTAGTCTCTCGAGAAGGCTACGTTTGTTTGCTCTCTTGATGGAATGACCTAGATGTGGCTTGCCTCCCTGGCTAATAGCACGGGGGAAATCCCAAGCCACTCCCGAGCCCCGGCCGCACGGCCCCACAGCGGAATGGCCACCCAGCAAAATGCTTTCCGAAAAAGCCCCCACCTCGCACCCGTCTCACTCCCCATTGTCCTTCAGCTTCCGCCGCCTCCGGCACATCGGCTAGGTAACTAGTGCGGCTTGGAGCCCTTCGCCGCTCCGTTCGCTGAGGACTCCAGCCGTTTGCTGCTGCCGTGCAGTTGCAACAACGTGATGTAAGGCAGGTGCCTAGGTACTTTAGTGTACCGGCTGTTGAGCCCGTCGATGCAATTGCAACAGTAATGCCTCCACCCTCCAATGAGTCGGTCTCGTTGGGGACGTCCGATCAATCAACGATGCGAGAAACGCCTTATATATGCCCCCCCAAAGATATGTCACCTCGGGTTCTTCAAAGGACAGCGACGCGGAGCACCACGCTGCTCACAGACTCGAGATTTCAGCTTGGGAGTGTAAATTGTGGCCCCCCCAAGTTTGAGGACCAGAACGGGCTCCAAGTTTCACGTAAGATAGATTGAGCGCGGTCTTGGCGAAATTCGCTGCGCCCTACGGATACTCCTTAGCTTGTGCCGTTACATACGCTACCGGATTGTTCTTTTGCATGCTAGACTTGGTTGCGCATCCGGTATCGCTGGGCAGCTGAAGCATAACGTGAACGATCGGATCACCGGTTGGCGCCGCGCGTTGGCCGTAAAACGTCCTAAGAGCATCGCCGCTACGGAGTCATCCGGCTCCGAGAGATTTTCCGTTACCAACACGGGGTACGGTCGAGTTCGGATAACGGGCACGGACGGGACAGGAGGTGAGAATACTGGGTTGATGACTTTGGTGCTCCCAGCGATACGGAGTAGTCCGCTTCACGGGTTCGAGATTTCTGGGGCACTGAGTCGTGCGTATCTCGTCGCTCTGCCTTACTCTACTGACCTCCCGCACCGGATAGAGATTGGAATCTCTACTTTTCTCGGATTCCATCCACATGTAGTCTAATCTCGTCTCGACTCAGGGCACTTTGTTGCGGATCGTCGGATACACCGTAGAGGTCGCTCCACTGGATGAACTACCGCAAGATCAAACGACTCCTTGGAGTATTTTCCGTCAGTTGTCTCCACGCTTGAATGGTCTAAGCCTCTGAGATTGGTAGGGCTAGAGCCAGACCGCGATCGCTGGGTGACGTTGTGGAACTGCGACTGATGAATGAGGCGACTTGTGCGAGTCCGTGAGCTTGATCAGAGTATGAAATTAGACATAGAGTTTGACTTCAAACTGAGGTAATCTAAGTAGATCATTGTAGGTGAACTAGTGTATCCGTACTCGAGAGACACAGGCATGTTGTCGTTCCACCTGTGAAGTTGAAGAAGAAATGTGATCTGTATAAAGGGCTTTCAAGTCCCTCGTCTTGACAGTTGAACAGAGCTCGAAGTCATCATCGCCTTTGTCTCTCATTCCCCAGCCTCTACATTCGTTTCTCACAGCATAACCATCCACTCTCTTTCAAGATGCACTTCACCAAGTTTGTTCTGGCAGTTGTCCTGCCCTACATGTAAGCACCACCGCCTCCACCTCTCCCGGCCCATGAGCGTCCTGAGCATCTTACTGACCGCGACGCAAACAACAGAGCCGCCGCCAACACCCACGTCGGCTGCAAGTGCAACACGGGCGACGACACCTGCCTCCAGGCCGCCTGCAACGGATACTCCGACGCCGGCGTCTTCTTCAACAAGCCCAAGGGCCACGAGGATACCGTCTTTTCGCAAGTCAAGGATGGCGTACGTTGATCCCCCTCTGCCTCTCGTACACAGACATCTTGCACATTTTGCAATTCGTCATCTCTCAGTGACTAACCCGCGTGGACATGCAGAAATGCTACGCCGTGTACAACAACGGCAACGAGTTCCTGACGTTTGAGGGGCTCGGCGGCAAGGAGTGGAGGGCCAAGTGCGAGGAGCACTGCAAGGGTGGCTCTACCTGCTGAGTCAAGGCCAGATGGAAAGATTTGTGGTCCGCTTCCTTTCGCGTTGACTTTGTTGTAGCAGCTTATATGCCAAAGTGATGATTTTACCAACGATTATCTCTCCATTCCTGCGAAATTTTGATGACATTGTAGATGTAAGGTTTCATGTCTTTAAGCTTACTTACCTTGCTAAAGGTTGAGGTGGATGGCACGGGCTGAGACGGGAAGTTAAAATGACGATGCAGATATTAAGGATAAAACTTAATTACGAAAACGAGAACGATGCTGAGTCGTGTTTTACAGTACAATTGATAGGCCCAGGGCTGTAACGTTTTTGGAAGAAGAAAGTAAAAAGGACGAAAGAGAATAACGAAAAGCCGATGTAATGCTGTCGCACTATTCACCACGCTTTGCAGCCACAGCGAGTCCCGCATGCCATCGTGATGCTTATCCATGTGGTTTGCGATAGTCTAAACGGGCTCGATGGACGACAGCGGACATGGCGCGGCGGTCTTGGTCTGCTCTGGCGCGAGGATCGTCACAACACCCCTGTTCACCAAACAGGTCCACACGGAAGGGTGGCCGAGTTGGTTATGGCGCCAGGTTAAGGTCAGCTTAACATCTGTTTCCTGGTGGGGCAACCCGCGCGAGTTCGAGTCTCGTCCCTTTCATTTTTGGGATTTGTGACGAGGTATTCGTGTTGTGTTGACCTTTTGCCGTCCACTGTCTTTGTTACCGGGCGTTTGGGAAGCGTTGGAGGATGCAGGCAAGGCAGGGGGATTGGATCTTTCGAGTGCTCGCATACGAGTCCCGAAGAATCTTGAACCAACAAGTGGTTCAAGTAGAGAAGATGAAAAATGGGGATACAGGTTTCTATATGGGAGCTAAACCCGGATCATGATAGTGTGGCTGCGTGTGAAAGTGAAGACTAAGGACGTAAGACGGTTTGCTAGTAGACCGCTAGACCTGCCGTCTCGAGTTTGACAGCTCGTCCGGCGGTGAAGATGGAGTCTCGGGCGCCTCCTGCAGCTAACACTTGGGACACCCGCCTCATTATCTCTCACCGAGTCTGGGGATATGGCATGCTAAGACTACTACGATCACTCATGGACTTGAAGATTCTTTGAAGATGCTTGATTTCTGGCTCGAGACATGAAGCATGGTTCTTGATTCGGCGAGAACCGCAGCCTCAAGGACTCAAGACTCAAGACCCAAGAGACGACTGAGAGGTCGAGAGATGTTAGGTAAGCAAACGGCCGGGCTCCCCTGCAGCCCAGCCACTCACAAAATGAGCCCCCTGTCATGAAGTGGCGTTGCCTCGTCGGCGGGATAGGTGACAGCGGATGCGGAGACGTGCTGCCGCCGGGGTGGAGTCCCCTGTCTGTGGTGTTCTTGCGCAGTATCCCCAAGTCACAAGTGTCACTCTCTCATTGTCAAGGCACAGGTGCGAACCCAAGCCAGAGAAGATCTGGTTCTTGAATGGGTGGTGTTGTGTGTTGGGCACATTCTAATTGTTAAGTATCCGTAAGGTATGCAACCTGCAAGTTGGGAGATGTACCTTATGCAGGACAGCTGTACTGCAGGATACGTACTCTCCTCTCATCTGAAAACCGCCTGAGGTGCCGTACCTA